TATCCTAGACGTAAGACGTATCCTATTATACTTTACTGAAATTAAGCTCAAAAAATCCTTTGCACGAAAACTTTGTGATAATTTTAATTTCTTTCATTCTATATGTTTTTTTGGGTGCTCTATTCGAAACTGGGATTTGAGAATTCATTTTCGTGGAAAAATCTTAAACAAATTAAAATAAAAAAATATAAATCTGATTTGTTCGTGGTATTTTACTTGTAATTCAAAAGCTATCAACTTTTTGTAAATAACCTTTATTTCTATAAGTCTTGTTTTTATAAATTTTCACCAAACAAACTGTTTTGGGTCACGAGCCAGCAAAATTGACAGTTTTAGACTGACTGCTCAAAATCGCACTTTTTCTACTACCCTTTTATTTGTTATTAATGGCTGATGTACCCTAAAATTATATGAGGTAAATATTTATTCGCAAGAAGCTGAAGAGGATCTCGATATCCTTATTATCCAAAAAAAAGCTTAAAAGTTTGCCTCATTAGTTAAATGAATTTATTAACAGTAGTGGGAAAATATATCAATCTTTTGGTGATTTTGATTTTCCTAATTGAATGTGTAATAATACACGGAAAATGCTAGCAGAATCGTAGAATTTTCTCATTAGAGCAAGACAAAGGAATGCATCTCAAACACTGGCTGAAGCTCATTTTGAAGCCGACAAAACTCTATCTGATCATAAACTGATTTTGGACGAAATAATTGGTTGTGAAAAAGAAAAGAAATTTTTCTTAAATTCTTATAGAAAAATAATGCAACTGCTTGAAACTAAATACTAATATTTTCAAAAGATCACTTAGATATACCAGAACGAGACTGCCGAAGTTGGAATTCTATTTCTCATAACTCTATATACCGGGTGCGTCTCAAAAGTGGCTCACCCCTATAATTTGTTTATTTTTTCAGAAAAGAATCGAAATTTGGTATGTTAGTATACGACATAAATTATGATTAATTGACGTATTCAATTGTTTTGCTCACTTCCTGTTTTACCTGAAATTACTACAACTTTTGATTTTTAAATGGCACCCTCAATGGCACCCTCGGTATATTTCTACTTTATGACATATGTCATCTTTTGATATTTCCGATTAAAAATACGATTTTGACATCTTTTGGACCGGCCAGGACAAGACACGAAAAACATTAGACGATCAAATCTATTTTTCCAAGGCTTCTTGTTTAAAAATTAGTGTTTTTAACAGAGCCATGGCACTCTAGATTGAAATTTAAAATGTAATGTTTTTTGAACGAAAATGTCAAAAGATGACACATGATATGTCATTCTACTCAGAGTGTCATTTTTTATCGAATAAAGTAGAAATATACCGAGGTGCCATTTAAAAATCAAAAGTTTTAGTCATTTCCGGTGACACAGGAAGTGGCCAAAAACAATTGGATAGTCAATCAATCCTAATTTATGTCATATACTAACATACCAAATAACCTAACAAAACAAAATGTCGTTTTTTATGTAAAAAAATAAAAAAGTTATCGGGGTGAGTCAATTTCGAGACGCACCCGGTATACAAACAACACAGACTAAGATTAAAAGAAGAGAAGAATTTTGAAGTATCTTTAAGCGAAAATTTATTGTTAAAGTAGCATAAATATGCTTAATTGTAGTTAAAGGATAGTATTGAAAGAAAAAGAGAAATATATTAACTATTGGGGGGGGGGGCGCCAGATAGGGTACTTGCCCGGTCTCAATATTTGCCTTCCGCCGGCCCTGCTTGGGATACGACGCCGAAGGCAGAGTGTCCCATCCTTTCGAACAAAATAAAATCACTTTTAGCACATATATATACACTATTTTTTCTACAAACAAGTTTATGCTCGTATATATCAAGGTATTATTACTTACACACATATATACACTATTTTTTCTACAAACAGGTTTATGCTCGTATATATCAAGGTATTATTACTTTTTACGCTAATGAATAATTCATAATATGTCATTCTGAAATCAAATTAATTATGAAGTTTATGGTTACTAGGGTAACAATTATCGCTTCAGTGTTAAAAGTAAATCACGTGACTTACTTACTAATCAAATAACTTTCACCATCAGTGACATAACGTCACATTTTAGACACTGACAGCATGCGTTAAAAATTACACTTTTACTGACGTTTGTAGAAAAAAATTATTTATTATTTAAATTTTGAGAACCATTGTTTCTTTTCTAGGTTTTCATTCTTGTAAATTTAATCTACTACTATTCTATGTTACTATGTTATCAAGTTATTATGTTTTTTAAATAAAATTTCGGGGGTCGAAATATACTACTCCAAAAAATATTTGCACTTATTTAAGACTCACCCTGTATAACATAACTTTTATACATGTCTATGGCTCGCCCGGTATAGACCTCTAATAAGAATGATTTAGCATTCGCTTATCTCTGCAGAATATTAAATACCTGAAGTTAAATTACAACAGTCACGTTTTCCACTATTTTATATTAAGGTAAAATAATGTCAAAGTTCTAAAAGTTTTTAAACAAAATCTAGCATGCTGTTCAGAGGCTCTAAATGAATATTCATGAATAAAGTGTTGAAATTTTTATTTGTGTAGTTCAGGACATTATTTAAACGAAACTGCAACCACTACACTTTTTTCATTTTATTTAACATGGCTGTATAAAATTTCTTTTATGTCGTAATGAATAAATTAGTAGGCATTTCGTGATGACAGAGTGTCAATGCAATTTTAATAGCCGATTAGATTTTCAAAGTACATTTAATCTCATCAAAAACATAGAATGTAAAAAAATCTCCAAACGCAGTTGTTCTAATACAAAAGGTTGTGAAATCTAGTTTTATGATACAGGGTCGTTTAAAAGTATTGTAATTTAAGATACCCCTCTTAAAATTGTAATAATAATAATAATAATTATTAAATTAATTGTAAAATATTGACCAGTATTTATTATAATTAAATAGGGCATAAATAAATTGAAATGTTTTATTATACAAGGTGAGTCTATAAGTGGAACCTTATTTGTGCTGCTTTGTGCAAATATTTTCAGGGCTGGTAGATATGAATAAAAGAAACATAATATATTATCTAAAAACTATATATATATATATATATATATATTATCTATAAACACGGTAATTTCAAATAAGTACAAAATAACCGAGTTATTAAAGTTTGAAATTTAAAAAAACTGATTTATTTTTAAAAAAATTTATCTTAAAGAAATTTTTCTGTATTTCCAGTTGGAAGAAAAAGCACGATTTTTAACATCTTTTTTTGCAAAAAAACTTTATAGGCCTGTTCCTGGGGTCGAAATATACCACCCCTGAAAATATTTTAACTTATTTAAGACTTCATAGTTTCATAGTTGTCGATTTTCGAAAGAAATCAGTACATGCATATTTTTTCGTATATTTTTCATTTTATTGATTTTATGGAAAGCACTGTTCATTAAAATGTTGTATCCTATGTTATAGGGCTTGTTTCTCTCTACAATTTTCTGTCTCACAATGTACCGTTTGTGTCCAGGAAGAGTTCATAGTTTCATAGTTGTCGGTTTTCGAAAGAAATCAGTACATGCATATTATTTCGTATATTTTTCATTTTATTGATTTTATGGAAATCACTGTTCATTAAAATGTCGTATCCTATGTTATAGGGCTTGTTTCTCTCTACAATTTTCTGTCTCACAATGTACCGTTTGTGTCCAGGAAGAGTTCATAGTTTCATAGTTTGTTCCGCGTCCAGCCGGCTGGACGCGGCGGCTGGACAGTATTTTCTTATTACTTTCTGAAATAATTTGAGTTTTTTTTTCACAAAAATTTTCAACTTTATCAGTAAATGCACAATCAATTTAATGGAATTTACGTTTATTATGTTTCGTAAACAAATTAATTTTGGAATTTGAGATTCGAGAACCCCCTCCTTATCGAACCTCTACACGCCACAGTCAATCCGTTTGCAAAAAATCAACTTTAAACGTCAAGCAGTTTAAGCAGAATCGTGATTACTCAATGGTCATATTTTATGAAACACCCTGTATAAATTTTTAAAAAATCTTTAAATATGTAAAACAACAAAATAAAATATACGTGTTTAAGAGTTTTTTCGAAAAATTCACCAGTTTTTAAATTAAAAATATTCTAATATTTGAGGGGTGGTTTCACCCCCCACGAATTCGAGTTTCGAAAAATCGCTTCTTATCGAACCTCTACATCCTAAAGTCAATCCGTTTTCCAAAAATCAGCTTTTTACGTCAAGCGCTTTAGGCTGTACACGTTTTTAAAAAATCTTAAAATATGTAAAAAAAACAAAATAAAATATACGTGTTTAAGCGTTTTTTCAGAAACTTGACCGTTTTTTAAATAAAAAATATTGTAATATTTCAGGGGTGGTTTCACCCCCTTGGAATTGGAATTTCGAAAATTCCCTTCTTATCGAACCTCTACTCCCTATGATCAACCTGTATGCCAAAATTGAGCTTCTTACGTTGAGTTGTTTAAGCAGGATCGTGATTAATCAGTGAGTTGTATATTAGTATAGATTTTATTCTAATCTGTATCTACAATAAACTAATATAGATAATAAAAAAATCGGTAATGGGTAATAGTACAAGAAAATTAATATTAACATTTAAAAAATAGGTATTTAAATTGAATTCTAGTTGTCTTGACTTGAGGGAAATTATATTGATTTAAGTCATTTTACTGACTTAACTTGCAGATTATCATGATTTAAGTAAAAAAAGACTTAAGTAAAAAAAATACTTAAATAAGTTTATATTGAATTAAGTTTTTAAAAAAATGACTTGATATGAAAGAAAATGACTTAAGCCAACGACTTAAAACTTAAATCATTTGAACTTTATACTGAAACTGACTTAAGACTTAAATCATATTTTGATTTTAGAAATGACTAAGGACTTAAGTCTTTTTAAAACTGGCTTGTTGCAACTCTGCTTTTAGTTAGCAAATAGAAAAAATATATCTTTTTTTTTGTTGCAGTACAACATAAAGAAGAAAGAGGAGGTGGTGGACCCGATCCAAGAGGAACCCAACCCGCTGATGCGGAAGAAAAAGACGCCGGAAGAGTTGGCGCGGGAGGCGGAGGCGGAAGACGAGGACGAGCTGACAAGTGAGTGCGTAGCGGCCCTTAGACGAATCCATAAGCGATGCACAGTTATGTGAATGACCGAATGATGATGATAATGATGATGGATGCGCTTGTAGGCATATTTGGCGTGAACACGGCTTTGACATGAGCTTTCTGTGATGCGATCTTTAATATTCATTAGTTTTTATTCTTAAAATGCTACCCAATATTAATACACTCAGGTGCAAAGAAACGATAAATTTTTTGTCAAATTTAAAGTGTTATATTTGTGTTATTTTTAACCCTATTTTCATGAATTTTTTAGCAAGCTATATATAATTATTATATCAACTTTAATTCATAAATTCAGTTTTTTATAAACTTTTGTATTTGCCATATTATACATGGTTAATCGAGGGGTTGTTTTTTACCCTAATTTTAAAACACCCTGTGTAATAATTTCGTGTGTAAATTTTCCTAAAATATAATTTTACGATCAGAACCATGTCTCCTGAGCATTTTGTTTTTTGGATCATTTCAATACATACTTTGGTTAATTTTTAAGAGCGAAATGAACTTGCCACCAACAATTTGCACTATTTTCAACTATAATTTCTTTTTGAAGTTATTTTTCAATATGCCAAGACGATTTTGATGATTATTGTGAACTATATACTACTATGATCTGCCCATCATGTTCGACGTTTGGGAAATGCTTGGCAGGAGGGTTAGAGTTCGCGAAGCCGTACCAAGCTTTATTAAATGAACTTCGCTTGGTTCTTAGGGTGCGTTTATGTTGGAGCGACGATAAATGATAAGAGCAGCGATAGTAGCGAAGCAAAGAATATTATTATATTAATTTATATGTAGGTGTTTATATTGGAGCAACGCGTCGAGACATGGTTGGCAGTTGAGCAACGATAAGAGCAGCGCTAATTCACTGCTTTTATCGTCTATCGCAGCTCCAACATAAACGTACCCTTAAAGAATAATGAGAAAGCATAACGCAATATGATATATGCAGCCTCGATGACAGTATGACCGGACGTATACAGGCAGTTATAGCAGCCACGGGAGGCAATACAAAGTATGATGATATTTTTAAAATGTTTTTTTTTCTGTTTGCATACTTGAGTATTGCAGATGTTTTCTTTATATCGTTAGTGGTGTTATCGTTATTAATTTTTTTTTTAAACCAGGACTGTATTGTTAGTATTTAACGTTTTTTTTTAAATTTAGTATAGAGTAAATAATAGTCATCAAAACCATGTCGTCATATTAAAAAAAATACATCAAAAAGTAATGATAATAATTGAAAAAATTGCAAATTGATCGTAATCAGTTCATTTCGCTTTTAAAAATTAACCAAAGCATGTATTGACATTAATTAAAAAACAAAATGCTCAGGAGTCATGGTTCTGACCGTAAAATTATATTTTAGGAAGATTTGCACACGAAATTATTGCACAGGGTGTTTTAAAGTTAGGGTAAAAAAACAACCCTTCTATTAACCCTGTACAATATGCCAAATACTAAAGTTTATAAAAAAAACTTAGTTTAGGAATTAAAGTTGATATAATTATATACAATTTGCTAAAAAAATCATGAAAATAGGGCTAAAAATATAAATAATAATAACAACAAAAATATAACACGTTGCGTTTTTTTTGCATCCGAATGTAATTCACACATAGTGTACTGACTACATTTTTGAATTAGATTCAAAATTTGTTTTATAATCAACGCTTAATTTTTCATATCACTTATAAAGTTTTCATTCAGTTGAATTTTTATGAGTCAATGTGTCAATTAAAGCTTCAAAAAGAACTGTTAAAAATTGGGGTTTATAATATTAATTCTATCCCTAGTACATGGATAGCAATATACTCCTTCTTTAATCTGTTTGTTCAAAGATTCATTCCAAACAAATACAGAGAGGTAATGTTTTCTCTTTTTTATCATTCATTAAATTCATTTTCCTTGTTTACACATTCCACATTGTCCTTCAAACAAGAGATTTTATAAAAGGAACATTATGTTTAATAATAAAGTTGAGATTAGGTCTCTTTGTAATGCAAGTATTATTGTAAACAAGTGTTTAAATATAGTAAAATTAGAACTTTAATCTAAAGATTCATGTAAAATACATGTAAAATATAAATTGCAAACTATCATTGTCCCCGGATTGTCTTTACAACAGGAAAAACTTTTTTATTATTGATACTTTCAAAAAAATGCATTCTTCATAAAAAATGTTTGCTTGTTCTAAAATGGTTAATCCCGTTTATACTTTTCTAAATTTCTATACTGTTTTAGAAAAAATTAATAAAAACATGAAAATATTGTTTTAAAACGCGTTTCTATGGTGATATAATTTTGATTTCATTTTTTGATAGATGGTTATTAATAATTTTGATCAACGTCATATTTTTGCTACGAAATTCTATAACCATAGAAACGCATCTTGATTTTTAATACTTAATTCAACTATATTTTTTTTTTTTTTAATTATCTCTAAAAAGGTATGAAAATTTATAAACTAATTAAAACTATTGAAAAAGTATAAACGGCATTAAGAGGTGCCCGATGGCGTAGAAGTACAGGCTCTCGTCTACCAATCTCAAGGTAGTGAGTTCGAATCCCACACCCGGCATTTCATCAGCCGACAATTTTTATTAAAATAAAAATAGTTTGGGTACCTAGTTCGACTCAGCCTTAAATGAGTACTTGGGATTCACAATTCTGAGGTAATAATAGGCGGTTGAAGCGTAGAAGCGTAGTAGCACATTACCTGCCTTGTATACCGAACGGCTCTAGTATGGCAAGCTGTACCTTGCTACTTCCAAGGCGTTAAACGCTATATACGGAAACTATTATTATTATTATAAACGGGCATTAAACATTTTAGAACAAGCAAAAATTTGTATGAAGAATGCACATTTCTTAAAATGTCAATAATAAAAAGTGTTCTCTCTTGTAAAGATAATCCGGGACATACTGTATGTTCCAAATATTTCAATTTTATTTATAATTTGTATTTATGTACTTCTTTTTTTAGCGCCATAAGATTTAATGCTGCTACAGAAAATAATATTCATAATTCATAATTTACTCATAATTCTTGTGGATACGATTGACCAATCCTTAAAATCAATGATCGCATCATAGAAAAATAACTCAATCAAATATTATATTTTGCTATAGTTTGCTTTAGTGCCTTTCTTTTAATTTGTTCACTATTAAAAATTGTTTAATTGTATATTTTTATTTTTAGTCACTTTATATTTTATTTTGTACTTGATCTATAAGTGAACAAGTCCTATTATGAAATTTGTAAATATATCTATTAGAAATAAATAAATACATATACTTATATATTAAATAATAAAAATCATATTTATTCATATACATATATTAATTATTGTTCTTAATATTGTGATACATTTTATGACAATAAAACCAGTTACATTTCTGAAAAATTGATTCTATTTTTATTTTTTATTTAATTTTAAGGACTTGAGAGGAATAAATTATCAGTCAATTTTTTAATCTACATTCTATAAATAGGACTTGTTCTGTTTAGGTTATTCACAAGGTATAAGATACCTTCGTATTTTTTGGTAGTTTTAAAGCGAACATACGTACTTACATCAGTTTTCTCTAGTATGTAATGTTATTTTACCGCTTTATTTTGTGGTTGTGATCCCTTTTATCGGGAAGTTTTATTCTAAATGTACAATTATAGCTGTTGTGTCTTTTTATAAACATATTTATCTCGACCCCGATGTGCGTTGTTGTATGTTCGTGTACCCAACGAATCGAAGACTGTAACTTCGACAATCAATGTTGATGACCCTCTTTTGACCAAATTATCCTTAAGTGTATCACTTAATATCGGAAAAAAGAGGTACTTAGAAGAACCTTGCACTAGCCAGGACATTGGTTACTAAAGTAATGAAAACAATTTGTTGGAAAGTTTAACTTACATATTTATATATGAAATCTAAACAAATATTTCTGTAAAATTTTTATGTCATTAAAACAGGAAAAATTAATATCTTGATTTGGAGGGGGGGTTCTGGAAAAACAAATGTCATATTGTTTTATTCTCTAACAAGGTTTCATATAATCAAAATTTGTGTATTTTGGTCTGCCAATATTAGAAATGTTTTAATACTATCATATAGGTACAGTAAACCAATGATAATATAGAGATTTTTTTTAAATGTGTATAAGATACTACAAGGTTGTTCAATTTACCCAATATAAGTCTTAAATTGTCAATTTTAAGTTACTAGTGCAGGGTTTTATTTTTACCTCTTATGAAAACTAATATTACTATATTCAATAAAATATTTAAAAAATTATATAATTAAGTATCTGCATTCAGATATAAATCTTCTGATCTATTTTGGAGAATATAGATTTATACCTCTATGATAAATGCAAATTATTGCATAAAATAATAAGAAGCTTAAGTTAGTTATTATTATCATTAAAATTTCCTGCATAAATAGAAGTAGATAATTCTGTTCTATCTAATATATGCATACAGTGTCTGTCAAATGATTTCATATAAAATACACGAAGCAATCCAAAATAGTTGAAATATCTATTCTGATTTTACTCATTTGGTTGGCAATAAATTTAAGGAATTTGATAATTTAACAGCTGGTATTTAGAATGACATAGGTAGTGTCAAAACAAATCATAAGCAAATATTATTATTTTTTAAATGACAATTAATTCATAATATAGTGAACATAATCTATGGAGTGTATAGGTAAGGAGAAATATCTCTTATAGGACTTTATTTGAAAAAGTGGTCACCAAAATGTGAAGAATGAGGGTTCACTAAATGACCACAGTGGCCCTGTCAATTTATAACATGAAAAAGGATAGAAAAAAATTGACGTCAAAGAATTTACATAATTTGCTAATATTTTTCGATCAATTGCTCTAGCATCGGTACCATCACTAACCCTAAAATCTTCTAACAATTTATTGCCAACTACTTTAATCATCATGGATTGCTCCATAAC